CCGTGACGTTCGCACTTTTCTACAAGCAAAACAAACAGGCGCGTCCGTGGCTTTTTTTGCTGCTGCCCACCCCACAAAGGATGCGGGCGTAGACATAGTAAACGACATTAACGTTTAAGTCCGTACCATTTGTGCTTACGATATTTCAGTTGAACATTAATATCATTAGCTGAAGGTACTTAATCACTACATAGTATAAAACAAAGCGTCGCTGTCTGTCTGTCCCTATGTATGCTTAGATCTTTAAAACTACGCAACGGATCTTGACGCGGGTTTTTTTACTAGATAGAGTGAGTCAAGAGGAAGGTTTATGTGTATAATAACTTGCACCCATGCGAAGCCGGGGCGGGTCGCTAGTTTTCTATAATACGATACAACCTGTGCGATCAATTAATTGCAGAATGTAAATCCTATCCGCCAGTGAAATAGAAACAATGAAAATATGATTCGTTTATTTCATGGTGGATAAAATATAAAGTGCAATTTGTAATAAAATTTGCAGCATTGAATAAGCGAAACATTTCACGCAATTAAAGTCAGTGTCTTAAATGGATCAATCAATAATATTCTTCGAAGTTGTGCGTCTTCAATGTAACAATTGAAATACACTTGAAACAACTTGGCGACACAGATGAGGCGCATCTGTACGCCTTATATAACACCCAATTGATTGATCGGAACAGAGTGTATGAGAGGCTTTTAGGGAAATTACTCGCTAATAAATTGCCTGTAAAAAAAGGTTTTTGTCTTGCGGACAATAACGCAATGTCGCCATTTTGCGTTTCAGAGGTACGAGTAATGATTAATGGCAACAGACAAACTGAACTGTAGGAATCTAAGGCCCGTTTCTGAAACACTGATCATCGTAGATGTCAACTAATCAGCCGTCAAATGGCTTTTCAAATTTCATTTTAGTTGCCAAAAGGACGGTTAAACTCTCTGAATTGACCAGAATGATCTTCTAATGATCAGAACGATCAATCCAAAGAGTTCATCCTTTTGGCAACTAAAATATTATAATATATTTTTATATTGAAAACCATTTGACAGCTGATTAGTTGACATCTACGATGATCAGCGTTTCAGAAACCGGCCGTAAGACAGCCTAGTGTGAGTACACAAGTGATAAATCACAGGCATAATAATAACTAACATAGAACTAAACTGGAATACTAGATAGAGACAGACAGAGACATAACGCTCAGTATTTGACAAAATATTCAGTTGAACAACTGTTAATGTTGTAGCAAACACTATACAGTATTTTATCATATAGTGTTTGCTATATATATTTTTATCATATATGTTCATTAGTTTATAGTCGTAAATAATTATAGAAATTTATAGACTACAGAATTTACGAGTTATTCGTTTCGTTATCATAAACACTACAAATAATACGAAAATTCAAAAGTTTTATAGGGCGAGAGAGGGGTGAGAAACTGTGGTAGGTCCGAGAGAGAATGACAATCGAATTGTAAAGGGGCGCGTCCGGAGCCATTACTAGTGTTTGGATTGTAAGAATTCATCTGATTGTTCCTTCCCAGCCGTGACATTGCGTGTGTGAGTTTATATATGACTAAAGTCCGACCACTTTGTGTGTTAGACTGTGACACCTGTGTTCCTCTATAAAATAAATAAATAGATTTATACAAAGAAACAAACTATTTACATCGGTCTGTCTCTTTTCAACCGACTACAAAAAAGGAGGAGGTTGTCAATTCGACTGTATTTTTTTTATGTTATTACCTCAGAACTTTCGGCTGAGTGAACTGATTTTGGTAATTTTTTTTTTATTTGAAAGCTCCCATGTCGTCATATATTAATTTCATTGGTATTGGATCTTGGGCTCCGGAGATACGTAGGGAACTCCTGAAAATCAATTATAAAATGAATACAAAGCGAGATATTTGAAGTCGGTTTTGTTTTTCGTTAAAATAAAAAAAAATAATTTATGATTATATATATATATATATATATATATATATATATATATATATCTAAAATGAATTTTCGTCCATCCGTCTTAACCGTTTGCGTCACATCAGACTTATTTGTTATTACCTACCCTTATTATTAAAGTGGATAACTGGATACAGCTCATCAATTTAATGGTCATATCAAATATGTCGTTGGAGCAACCGTCACAGCAAACAGAATGCGCGCAAAGTTACCCAATGAACTCGACTCGAATTGCAACACCCGTGTCAACCGACTAATTTTGGCTCTCAAAGTTCTCTCTTTTTATATTGTAAGTTTTTAACGAGCGCTCCCGACACGGCTACGGCCACAAATCCACTGCGAACAAGACGTTTTAACGATCCGCGATAACTATTTATAATCCGCGCAATTAATCTCGAGCGGAATCTGCATTCGTAATAAAACTTCATATACAGGGCTGTTGCTCGCAGAGGCCAATGTTATAACTTAAACTTAGCAGTATCAGAGATACTTTATGCTGTTAATATTTCCGGAGCTCTCTTACCTTTAAAAGTAAAATAAACACGTCTCTGAATTCGGATCACAGAGACGAAACACTGAATTCTGCGGATAAGATTCAAAAAATGAAAACTGACCAACAACAACTAATCCATCACGGCTTCGACAAAAATAATATACAATCAATAATACTATTAAATAATATCTCCGCACACATTTTGGCACAGCCCTAGGAGTAAAAAGTTGAGGTGAGACGCAAGGCTGCGCCTGCACACCCCCGAACCCACGCGCTTCCATTGTCCCCACCTACGTCACCACACTACCACCGCAATAAACTCCCGTTCATCGCAAAATAGACCTTATCCTCCATAAAATAAGGCTATTGCATCAGCACGGCTAAGCTGACTAATAAAGAAACCGCAACTTTATCTATACGTGTGTGATAAAGCACTTTATACCTTATTCAATTGTCATAAAAATCATCTGGGACGATATTAAATTTGTCGGCAAATGTAAACTACGGCGACCAGACAGCATTCACGTCCTGTCGCAGCGGAGTCCAACATAAACATCGCGTGAAATAAATCATTGGAGGCATGTTGTGTGACTTCGTTTTCGGTTTCGATTTTTAAACGGGCTTTGGCGCGGGTTTTTAGTTTTATTTCATAAGATGCAATTATTATAAATGTAGAACTGTACAGTCACTTGCAATAACATTTGTAGAAATATCCATTGATTTTTGATATTTTTGTTGCACATGTCTGCTTATTGTGAACAATTCCCCCTTTTCGACTTCATATTTTATTTAACAATAGAACGGCTTTGTTTATTAAGGATCTCCCAGAATAAAAATCCTAAAGTCAATCCATTTTTTGGAAGTCGACAATGTCATTCTAAACTTGCGAAAACCGTGCCTCAAACAGCTTGCATACAACTTGATGCATGTAACTTGACTATTTGGCTTGTCGGATTCATTATAGATTCATTAGATTAGAACAAAATTCTAAATGACTATTAAATAATACTCTGAATTAACAAATACGTCTTCTATCTTCCGCAAAGTAACCCATTTAGTTACCCAAATCATTGATACTAGTCAGTACACTTAACAAAGTGCAATTGTTAAAAGTCAATTCGCATCAAGTCTTAACTCTTCAAGCAGGGTAGCAAAGGAAACCACGCGGTGTCGTCATCAACGCCACCAGTTAGTTCCACGACAAGAGTAAGTGTCGCCGGCGTCGGAAGCCGGCCGCAAATCATATAAACAATTATTGTAATTGCTTCCGTTCGGAGCAACGCCGTTATAAATAGCCTCGGCGCCCTAAACAAACGCACGGACACACGCACATAGCAGCAGCGTAATGCGCCCCCATCCCCGCTCTTCTGTTTTTTTCCGTGGCCACCACATTACAATTTGGTTGTTCAGTTGACGAGTTCGCTGGCAACTGATCTCGTTATAGGGCGATAGTGAAGAAACATCAAATTTGATACTTATTCATTCAATTTTACACTAGTTACGAGATAATTTACGACAAAGTTCAGTATTTTAAGTTTATCAAACGACTTCAATTTTCAAGTTCTCAATTCACGTGTATGTTATTGTTTGTTACCTCATAGCTCCGTCATTTATGAGCCGATTAAAAAAATATATGTTTTTGCATTAGGTTCATTTTAGCTCTCATATTAATTCCATTAGTATCAGACCTTGGACTCAGGGGAGACCTCAGTGACCTCCTCAAAACCAAATAGAAAGTGTATAGTGGATAAGATATTTGAAGCTGGTTTGTTTTATATTTTAGCCATGATTTCTATTTTGAACATGTAAAAATAATACCTATCAATTAAAAGTCAAAGGTTAAGAATACCTGTTGGTAAGAGGTTGTCCCCCAAGGCATTACAATATTGCCAATAGTTTCAATGCTCCTATACTGATCTTCTGTTCATTCACCAAGAAAGCAACCGTTTGGCTCGAACACAGCAGGACTCACTATAAATAAATATAAGCTATTAAATATTTATTATCACCCATAAACGTACATATTAAAGTATGTTTATATTGACGGCTCGGCTGTTATAATTGATAAATTATTGGCTCTAACAATGCGGTTTATCCTATTACTGCACTGGTCAAGTTTTGGACGACAAGACAGACAATTGTTTGAAGTATGTTTATATTTGGCTATATATGTTCAAGTCTAGCACATATCGTTTTTTACGTTAGGGTTATAATACTGGTTCTAAAATGTTATCCAACTATTAAAGACACAAAAATTTAAATGTTATCTTTAAATATTTTATCTGCACAGTTCAAAATGTATTAATTTAACAAGTCAATAACGCAATCATTATGCTTACATGAATAATATAAAATTAGTGTGGAATCAAAACTACAAGGCATAACTTTGCCTTTTATTTTTCTTTCAAAACCCTATAAAATTCAAATTAAACAAGTGTACAGTCTCTAACGGTGTACAGTCGCGTCGCTGTTCCGTAATTTTTAAGAGTCGATTCACCGTTCGTGCTATTTTTATTTGTCGAACCGAATAGAGTCACCGTCATCACCGTGGCAAATGGCCGCCGTGTTTAGATGGAGACGGCGGATAGTGCGGAATAGGATTGATAGTGCTGCGTGCGCGTCCCGGGCGAGTTTTATCGTCGTCCGGGGCTGAAGTAATGGTCGACTCGGAGGCCCGCTCCCGACTTATTGGCTTCACTCCAAAGGACGTCTTGCTTTCGCTGGCTTTTTGGCGCGACATTAATTCATTCGATTCAGCTGGAAAACAACATAATTCAACGCGATAACGCACGCTCGCTGGATGCTGTGCACGAAATGTTCGCTTATGCAAATATGAAAATGTTCCCCGAGCGGTCGTATCGCTCGCAGACTGTCTCTTTCAAGTGGTTTCCGAATTGAGTATTATAAATATGCTCTCGGGTCGTTTTCCTACAAAAATTTAACTATAAAATGTCGCGTTGTTTTTCATATTTCATGTCGTTCGTGTTCAAACTTGATGCTTGCTTAAAATTATATTTGAAAATTAAAAAAACCGCTTGATACGCATCAAATTTCAGATTTTGAAGTTTTCTTGTCTTGTATCTTGTATTAACTGATGTTTTTGCTTTCAGTCCCGAGACTATTAAAGCTTCATCGGACGCAGAACCGGTGGGCTAGCCAGAACCCACGGGTTTGGACCCTCCGCTATGGGTAGGGTCGCGCATGTGCTCATGCGTGCGTTTAATTATGGTGTGTCATCTAAGGGCCGTCGAGGGCGCGGTTCGGACCGAGACCCCGACGGCCGTCGACTGTGCATTTAGCTAAGCGGTGGCTGGGAGCGGTGAGAAACCGCCCCGGAACGCGGGTGTACCTTGTGTACGCGTTGTGTGGGTCTCGCCGTGCTCGGAGGCGAGGGCGAACTGGTGTGATTGTTGTTACACTAACTGTGGGTGTAGTGTTATCCGGCGGGACCCCCGGCGGTGGGTCCATCGTATCTAAGTCCTCTTCGTCGACCGGGTCGATGAGGACGTTTCGCGGGCGGCGCTTGTTTACGTTCGCGTTAGTGTCCGGTTGGTAGTTTGCTGCGCTTACCACCAGAGGGTTGGGATGATGCTGGGCTCTATCGAAGAACCGTTTTGTCAAATCTTTAAAATGTGCGCGGATCGTCGGGAGTCTGCAATCGCTGTGCAGGTCGACGTTGCTTTTGAAGTTTTGCGATGTTGCCTCAGCTTTAACTTTTCAGGGGTTACAAAATCAGAGTCCAACCCAACTAATTCTGGTACAGACGTGGTGTAGTGTTGTATTAAAACTGCTTGTAATGAACATGTATGTAAGGTATGTAAAACCGATACAACCCTACCCGACAGGCTTGAAAACTTACTCCTATAACAAAACCCAAGAAAAATCGGCTCGCACACAATTGCAAAAACAATAAGCACACACGTAGAGCCAGTAAGGAACCCATCGGCCAACAAAGGTTAGATACTTAATGGAAAGATTTACAAAAAAGCAAACAACATTGTCAAGGCGTCGCCTGTTGTGTAAACATCGAACGGCTCCGCCGTTTTTTTGGCGGGAAGATTTATGACCAGTGACAAAGTCAATTTCGCGGGCGACAGGGCGATGCGGCTCGCCCGCTCCCTCCAACGCGCCGGTGACGGATTTTGGCATGGGCTTTTAGCCCAAATTGTCCTTCGGCACACATTCTGTAAATTGTTCTTGGGCAAACGCCCTACCTGACGTTTGTGACGTATCGCTTCCACCATCTTTGTGAAAGCGTTGCCCACTTTGACAATTCAATTTCTCGGTATAACCTAATAATGTAGTCGTAGTTTATTGTTTTTTTTTGCCGACATAATTGTTAAGAAGCCTTACAGTGTGTTGTGATGATTCAGATTTATGATGTTGTATACTTTTAAAAGCGACAAGAAAACAAACGAAATCGAAAATAAAAAAAATATATTATATGGTTTTAAAAGCAACAACGTAGGTAGTTTTAATAAGTCAAACCAAAACGAAAAAAAAATGCGTGAGACATCTCTCACTTTGGATCTGATGTAACATGTCTTCCTTGAGATGTCAAGGAAGATGTGTACTTAGTATCAACAGGAGTGACACGTGTGTCTGTTAACAAACACCGCAGTAATATAATATGTATAAATAATGTAACTTTAGATTTTGTACCAGTTAGCCTTTGTACTTTGTAAATTGAGTCATGACAGACCATTTACTGTCAGTTTTAAAACCGCATAAAACCCTAGATTCAGGGCAACCATTAAAACCAGTCGAAGGAAATACACATTAAACCATTAATTTAAGGCGAAACTTGCATCAAAACAGTATGCTTAATCATACAATAAAATTAATACGAACATGAACATTTACCCGATGAAATATCATAATTGCAAGAACGCTTTAATAGAATGGTTAGAGGAACGTTATAGCCAACTTCTCGTGGTCTGATAAAATTAATTGCCTGATAAACTTTCACTTTCATACAGCAGACTCCTCACACTCACTGTCTTGTTAATACACTCTCCTCTTACAATTTTCATCGTAGAACTGTTTTAAAATGCTTTGATTTATTATTTTTATCTTAATTTACTGTATAATTGTATTTCTATAACGGAAGAGCATGACTCTACTCGAGTTATCTTTTTACTACAGAGAAGGTAAAGCTTCAACCTATACATGTAACATGTCCCACTGCTGGGCAAGTGCCTCCTCTGTACAGAGGGTAATAGAGCATAAACCCCACGCGGCCCCACTGCGGATTGGCAGACTTCACATATCTTTGAAATATTTTTTGTCAGTATTTCGAAAATATGCAATTTCCTCGCGATGTTGAAGTCAGCACTTAACAATTTCATTTTACGAGATTAACAATTTTATCGGTGCCGACACAGGGACTTGGACTTAGGTTGCTCCAATGTAATGTACTAGCGACCCGCCCCGGCTTCGCACGGGTGTATTATACATAGAAATCTTCCTTTAGAATCACTCTGTCTAGTGTAAAAAACCGCATCAAGTTCCGTTGCGTAGTTTTAAAGATGTACACATATATAGGGACAGACAGACAGTGGGACGGACGACTTTGTTTTATACTATGTATATATTGATTAAAAGCGAGCGCCCGTACACTGAGCTCCGGCTACTCAACAATAAATTTTACATTCATTTTTATAGCTATAAATCATTTTTATGTTCATTTTATTTTTATATACGTCAGTTTGGACGTAGTCCTTTAAACCATTTTATGCAACGTGAACATCATCTTTTATTTCGTATTTGAAGGTCGACACAAAGACATCTTTGAAATCACATTAGACACTGCCTTTAAATCACACAATAAAACTGAAAATGTTCAAACACAACAATTATCACTTAAAAAAGCACTCGATTTTTAACGATAATTGCTAACGAGACATTTTAATAACACAAGTTAACTAATAAAATCCGAAACAAAATACAGATTTAGCGAGAATCGTATTATTTAAAGCACATTCATAATGTGCTTTAAATAATACGATTTTAGAGAGTTTTTAGCCTAGAATTTTCATGTATCACCCAGTAAATGTGTATATAGCTCATACACATTCGAAGTTAAAATATATTTCTGGCGCCGTTATATTTAACCGATTAAAAGGAACCGAGTTTTTACGTGCGTTAAACTTTATTTAAAAAAACAGTTTAAAATGTGTTAAAGTCCGGAAGCATCATTTACGTGATCAGCTTTGTTATATACCTGCATGGATTTTCCTCTCATATTCAATTACGATCAATCGATAGAACAATGCACGGGTCTTACATAGAATAAAAAGACAAAGACGGCTGATAAAACATCGACAGTAACGGAGAATATTTATCACAGTCATGTACAGAATACGAAACAAAAACCTCAGCATTAAGTGATAAATTCATAGCCGGCACATGTTATCGACGAAACGCAAAGGCGCCGTACCAAAAACGAAAAGTCGTTCCCGTACCACATTCACGTCACGATTCACAACTCCCGCCGTAGTACGTACCGAATCCACGAGAATGTACATTCTGATCGCATCTCCCTTATAATAATACCGAGCGATTGTTATTCTTCCAATCTTTCTTAATATTTAATATGAACCTACAAAGAGGTTATTAAATCAGACCTACTTAGCTAGAGGTGCACACAAAAGTAAGTGTTAAAAAGTTTTCTTTTCAAATTTACGGTGGTAGGGCCACGCAACGGTGTTCGCTGTTGCACGAATGGGCAGGTCCGTCCGGGTTAGCACCACGACCTCACAGAAGACCGGCGTGAAGTAGAAGTGTAACACTTCAGCGTCTCGTCTGGCGAGTGAGGTAGTCGGGGCCCAATTTATCTAGAGGTGGCAACGAATCTGCTACCCTACGGGTGTTGCAAATGTCCATGGGCAGGCTCGTTTGCCACTTTCTTACTTTAAAAATAATCATGTTCCTTTTCGATTAATAGACATTTAATTAATATTTTTTTTATGTGAAAAACTGGCAAGAAGCGTGAAGCATGTCGTTTAAAACACTCTTCGGCTGTAATCAGGAAACGGCGGGACACAGAGCGTCGCATTTGATTTTATTGTTTTACTAAGAACAACGTCGGATTTAGAAAAATCTAAATCATACGGGACAAAGCCTATTACAGTTTTAATTACCATTGCGTTGAGAATTTCACTAAACGAATAATGGGCGTGCAATAAAGAACTATCTTTCACACCTTCACATGTCACACCACAAAGGCGCGATTCTTCCGTTCGGATCAACCGCCATTAATTGGTATGGCGGTGGCGAAGCACCAGATCCTAGGGCAGAGTCGATTCGTGGAAACGTCGCGAACCGAACTAATAATATCATTACAAATATCTCACGTGCACGCCACCGGTTCCACGAAGCTTGGCTTTTTTTCCACCCCGCCTGAGTCGCGCTGCTTTTTTTTACATTGGCCTCCCAGTACTGTGACATTTTTACGCATTCCCGCATTCGTCATTTTCCCTTCCCCGATTCGGGGAGTGTAGTGCGCGTACGGCACCTGCCGCGTTTTACGCGAGACCTCAAGAACAAAGGCGTAAAGGTCTGATTAGAGAAAACATTAAAGCCCGAGAACTGGAATACAATAAAACTCGCACGCAAACCTGTCCGTAATAACCATTTTGTTACTAACGAAAAACAAAACAGACTTCAAATATCTCGCTCTGAATTCCTAAGTAACTCGGGAGCCCAAGATATAATACAAATGAAATTAATATAGGAGCACATGGGAAGCACCAGCTTTCAAATAAAAAAAGAATCATCAAAATCGTTTCACTCAGTCAAAAGTTATGAGGTAACAAACATAAAAAAAATACATTCGAATTGAGAACCTCCTCCTATTGAAGTCGGTTAATAAAACACAATAGAATATAACCAATCTAATGCATTATCTGTTGCTTCGCCGAGGTTCAGGCTAGGCGCCTCGAGCACCAGGCCACCTCAAGTCCGTCGGATCTGTAAAGGCCCCTAAGGCCAACAGTGCACAACAAGCTCAATATATCTTCCAACCGGTCTCAAATTGTTCGAAGTACATTGTAGGGCATTGTGACGTCATCGTAGGGAAAAAACGGCAACAATGTTTCCGAATAACTGACGATCTTTACAACAAACACATGCTGTGTCGGAAACAATTCGTAACCACCCCAATATTTTGTAATTATCGCCGCCCTAATATTATTGTCCGTTGTTTTTACAAATGTAGTATTTCCTTCCCTTTTCTGAAATACCTGGAGTTAATGTCAAGACAAAAAATGTACTCAAAATCAAAAAAGCAAGAGATTGCAGATGGCAGAATTCCGTAAATGTGCCCATAGGTTATCAACGGACCTCAATCACATAATGAAGTATTATCGCCACACATTAATAATTCTCGAAAAAAAAAAATGTTTATAACGCAATAACATAAACACTTTTGTTCGAGTTCTTTGGTGGTCGGAGTTTATTTTATTATGTTTATTTTTAACGGTTAGTTACTCCCTAATATTAAACAATAAATAATCCGCAGTTGAATGAATATGAGGACAGAATAAACCCACATACGAGAAAACTTCGCATTTATAATATAAAGTACGATATCTTAGGATGTTTACGCTTGTTAAATCCCTTGACCCGTTACGCGAGGGCGTCTTAAGAGGCAACAATGTTCAATATCGGTCGAGTTTATTACACGGGCGTTCGTGTGAGCGTTACTGTCTATTTCATCCAGGCAACCTAGTCCATAGCTTGTTAATAAAATGAGGTAACTTCACTTACCGTTGAGGAAGGTCAGCAAGAAGAGATTTAAGTAATTATCGCCGCTAATGAACATCTACACGAAGAGTTTGCAGTAGCATTGTCAGCCTTTAAATTAGTCGAACCCGGATACCTCACACACCAGAAAAAAAGCAACCGCCTTCTGTGTGGCCTTATTTCAGATCAGCAGGCAGCGATTATTAAAAAAGGTATATTAAAAAAATAGGAATAAATCATGCCCTTGACATAAAAGGATCGACAGATGTCAAAATAATTATTAAATTATGTCGACTTATTTATCATGAAGTGTTTATATTCGTGCAGAAGAACGTATTATCATGGCCTAAAGGTCCTTCATAACGGGTCATAAAATCCGAAAAAAAAAACGTATTATCAATTACATTTAAGTATAACATGCACAAAGAGAATTATTAATACAGGGAAATAAAGTATATGGTATAATTGTTGTTGATGTCCAGTTAACGTCGGAAGATACAATTTGTTCATACATACGAGAACGCACAGATGAAAAAAAAAGCCTGATTAAAAAGATCTCATTCGCCTTAAGCGTCTGTCGCGGAAGACTGCAGTCTGCCGCTGACTGCACGATGTCGCAAAACCATAAACAAGACGGCTTCGGAGGGAGGTCTCGGCGTTCCCCATCAATCGCCACTTAATGAGGAGATGGGTTGATAGTGACAGGCCCTGGCAGCAACGCGTGGCGCCTATCATAAGGCGTGGCGCCCTAATGAGCCCTGTCCTTCGCAATAAGGCGGGCAAGCACGCTCGGGAAATATCCCGAGGGTTCCGCAACCTTTCATTTCGATCGCTCTGCACCATTTACATGACAGTGAGTGAATACGTATCTCATTTTAGTTTTCGGTCACTCGGATAGTGCTAACGAAGTAAAGAGTTGAATTTCCATCGTGATATCATTCGCTATGCAAATATGAATTATTTTCATGGAGAAGGGTGCACACGATAAAGTGGCCCACGTGTTACTTATTGATCCACCCTTAGACGTAAACTGCACCATGAGAGTTCAAACCTCTTCACGAATATCTGTGTAATATTAGGTGTGATGAACCTCATATTTTATTTCATTTTAATTGAAAGTACATCTAGATATATGGGAATAATTAATTTCGATGAAGCAAATATTTATTTAGTTTATAAGCAACCCTAAATATACTCTCGGCTACCTGCGACACGACACGACTTCGGTGCATTTACAAACGTTCAAGTGATTTCAAATAAGATATAGACGATTTATTTAAATGTTCGTTATGTTTTACTTTCTGTCTCAGAGTTATTGCATATTATACCGCTGTATGTTTGTATGTGTGTGTTATAAATGCAAGTAGTAAAGTATATATGACGTATAAACTATATAAATGCATGGTTTGTATGAAGGTGTAGTTGTATCAAAAAGCGCGTAGACTGCCATGTCTTCGGTTAACATATATGTCAATATTAGGTGATGAATTATTCAATCGCTGATGTGTACACTATCATGGTAAATGAATTGATGCTGTGATATCAAAAACTATCACTTAATTCTTAAATAAATTAAATATTTTACGTAACTACTATGATATCTTAGCCAACGTCAACTACATTTGTGTTACAGCTTCTATAACATTACTCAATTATTTTCTTGTGTAAATTATATTAAGTGACTCTTGGACATCCATAAAACCCTTAGGTTTCCAGTTGCCATTGTCATAATCGTAGAGATTGGACCACGTCACAAGTCATTTGCATTTCGCAAAGGTACCATCATCCTTTAGTAGGGTATTGTCAAAGGTTGCCTCAATCACCAGACGAAATATATAAATAAGATATCCAGAAGTCTGCTGACACGCCCTAGTACTTCACCATACGTACGGGCCTGGTAATGCAATAGTGAAGCAGTCATGTAGCGCATGCAACTGTGTGAGGGCCACGCAACAGTCTTCGCTGTCTTCGCTGCACCATTGGGGGCGTCCGTCCAATAAAGTACCAAGACTTCACAGAAGACCGGCATGATGTGGAAGTGTTATACTTCAGCGTTTCGTCTGGTGAGTGAGCGACCGGTACCCACTTTACTAAGAGGCATCACATCTGAAAGCCTACGAGTGTTGCTAATGTCCATGACGAGGGTTACTCCCATTTCACATAGAAAAGGAGAGTACACAGTCAAAGCCAGGAGTGAAACTAGTCCTGTTGGTTCCTTCCACCGTCCGCACCAATTACGGCCGCCGTGCGCACGAAGGGTCCCACTTCGATTGTATCAGTCACGACCACCGGACCACGGCACACCGTAACGAGGCAAATTAACTTAATTAATAAAGCCTCTTACAGTTTACACAACGCTTGTCAATTCTCCCCAATTCGTATCGAATTTTCTAATTGGAACTTTTATCCGTCTGTCTTTATTCTATTAAGGAAATCTTTGTCATCGATATCTTCTCATTACCACTGAATAATCCGAATTTATTTTTAATTTCTTTGACACTGCCCTAACTTTTACGACGACTACAAATCTATAGATAAGAACAGTGCTACCAAAATCTTTCTGTGCGCCATTTAGATTTTATATCATAAACGACACCATTGGAAAATATATCCTACAAAATATATCATACTAGCTTATCGCCCGCAGCTTCGCTCGCATTGTAGCCCTCAAATAAATATATTTCTTTAAAAAGTATAAATATTTTTAAAACCTTTACATCACTTTTTTCCAATTAAAAATAGCCTATGTCCTTTCTCAGGCTCTAGACTATCCATGTACCAAATTTCATTTAAATCGGTTCAGTCGTTTTGGCGTTAAAGCGATACAGACAGACAGAGTTACTTTCGCATTTATAATATTAGTATGGCTTATAATATTAATTACGTATGTATGTTATCGATTATTAGGTTTGTGAAAAGCCTTATCTTCGCGCTGCAGTAAAAGTATTTCTCTAAGTATAAATCATAATTGTATCAAGTAAATAAAACTGATTTCTGGCGAGTATTGTATTGTATTGTATTAACTGATGTTTTTGCTTTCAGTCCCGAGACTATTAAAGCTTCATCTGACGCAGAACCGGTGGGCTAGCCAGAACCCACGGGTTTGGGCCCTCCGCTGTGGGTAGGGCCACGCATGTGCTCATGCGTGCGTTTAACTATGGTGTGTCATCTAAGGGCCATCGAGGTCATGGTTCGGACCGAAACCCCGATGGCCGTCGACTGTGCAATTAGCTAATCGGTGGCTGGGGGCGGTGAGAACCGCCCCGGAACGCGGGTGTACCTTGTGTACGCGTTGTGTTGGTCTCGCCGTGCTCGGAGGCGAGGGCGAACTAGTGTGTTTGTTGTTGCACTAACTGTGGGTGTAGTGTTGTCCGGCGGGACCCCCGGCGGTGGGTCCGGCGTATCTAAGTCCCCTTCCTCGACCGGGTCGATGAGGACGTTTCGCGGGCGACGCTTGTTGACGTTCGCGTTTGCGTCGGGTTGGTAATTTGCTGCGCTATTTCTGGCGAATGAACATGGATCCCCATTAAATAGATTTATTCGTTACTAGCTGTCCCCAGCTCGCTTCTCTGGGTCATACCATCTTCTTTAAGTCAAAAAAATATAGGTTCCAAAAAAGAAATCACCAACATATATAAACAACACAAAACCTTCTCCGAAACACGCTGCATCTTATGGTATAAGTATTATTCAGATCGATTCAGTAGTTTTCGCAGTATAACCTAACAAAAAAAACCGGCTCTCCTTTATAAATATAGAAGATAAAGGTTTAGACTAGATATCCAAACATTTGTTATACTTATTTACATCATGCAATTCTTTGTACCTACAGAGCTAAGGGTCACCCGCATAACGTCATTATTTGAGTTTGACAGCTTACGTTGGTGGCCGGCAGGGGACCCTTCCTAAATCAACACGGCGCGCTTTGTTGGCAGCCATTGTCGCCCGCGGACCTCCGACTTGGCCGCGGAGATATGAAAGTAGCATTTCTATCTCGTACTGAGACGTTAGGCGTCCACGATTCCCGCAAGGAATATGTGCCGTATATTTTATGAAGCACGGTATAACGAACGGTAAAGGAGTTCTGTATGATTAGCATAGGCGATTAACTCCCATTTGGGATACTCGAAGTAATATTATAAACAAAAATATGGATTTTGGCCATTTTATGATTAATAATAAATAATTACTCAAATATTCCATGTATAACCTACCGTAAATAGAACTGCGAATTCCTAAAGTAAAAAAAATCGTATTGTTCAACTTATATATCGTTACAGTCAATTACATCATTACAATTTTTCCGGTTTGGTAAAGTAACGTAACTGCCTATATATCCCATTGCTGGGCAAAGGCCTCCTCTATACAGGGGGTATCAGGGCATAGTCCACCACGCGGCCCCACTGCGGATTGGCGGACTAAACATATCTTCGAAATATTTTTTTTGCTATTATTTCGAATATATTATGTAGGTTTCCTCACGATGTTTCCCGTCACCGCTGAGCATGTGATGAGTCAGCAATTAACTTAAAATTAACAATTTCATTGGTGCTGGCACCTGGGTCCCCCGGAGCGCCCGGACACTGAGCTATCACGGTCAACGATCCGTTTCGGTTCCGGTATGATCATCATATAATGAGGTTTACAAATGAAAAAGATACTGTTACGTCAATAAGTTTATATAGTTTCATAAATTTAAGATATCACTTCAAAAGATACACTAGACCCAACAAGTTCTTATACAAATTCGTAACAAATTTCAGCTACTAGTAGTACTACTATCAATACTATTTTACGTTTTTAAATTAATTTTTCTCTGGGATTGAAAAAAGATTTAACTTTATAGTTATGTAAGTACTATGACTGTAGTTTAACTGTGGTAGGGCCGCGCAACAGTTTTCACTGTTGCACGAATGGGCAGGTCCGTCCGGGTTAGTACCACGACCTCACACAATATCGGTAGAAGTGTTACACTTCTGCGTTTCGTCTGGTGAGTGAGGTAGCCGAGGTCCACTTCCCACTTTATTAAAAGGTGGCAACGCATCTGCAATCCTACGGGTGTTGCAAATGTTCATGGCT